AGGTCTCACCAAGTTGCCCAGGCAGATCTTGAACCCGCGGGCTCAGGCAGTCCACTCACCTCAGTCTCCCAAAGTGCTGGGATTACAGGCTGAGCCACTGAGCCTGGCTACAATACATCATTATTAATGATAAGTCAACATGTTAGACATTAGTTCTCTAAAACACAGTTAAAATTGAAATTTTGTAACCATTGAAAAGCATCTCCATTTTCCAACCTGTAGGCACTGGTGACCACATTGTACTTTCTTCCTCTATGAGTGCAATATTTTTTGATTCCATGCATGAGTGAGATCACGCAGAATTTTTTTTTCACCGAGTTGGAGTCTCACTCTGTCTTCAAGTCTGGAGTGTAGTGGTGTGCTAATGACCACCACAGCCTCAAGCTGCTAGGCTCAGGTGGTCCTTCCAAATCAGCCTTCGAAGTAGGTGGAACTACAGGCATGCACTCCCACTCCAAGCTTATTTTTTTATTTATCATAGATACAGGAACCCATCAGGGTGCACAGACTCATCTTGAACCCCTGAGCTAAGGCAATCCTTTCACCTTGGCCTCCCAATGTGCTGGGATTACAGACTTGAGCCACTGTACCCATCCTCACACAGTATTTGTGTGTGTGTGCCTGGCACACTTCAGTTAGCATGATGTCTTATAGTTTCATTCATAAGGTTGAAATTGCTGGGTTCTTTAAATTTTTTTTGGCTAAATAATATGCTATTGTGTATATATACAATATTTTCTTAATCAACACATAATCCACAAATATTTAGGTTGTTTTCAAGCTTGGCCATTTTGAGAAATGCTGCTATGAACATAAGGATGTGGATACTTCTTTTTTGATGTTGATTTTATTTACTTTGGTTATACACTTAGAAAAGGGTTTTCTGTGTTCCAAGGCAGTTTATTTTTATAGTATTTTTATTTTTTGAGTTGGAGTCTCATTCTGTCACCCAGATTGGGGTGTACTCATGTTCCCAGCCACCACAGCCTAGACCTGCCGGGCTTCTGCAATCCTTCTCCCTCAGCCTTCCTAGTAGCCAGGACTACAGGCACGTGCTACCATGCTTGGCTTATTTTTTATTTATTGTGGAGAAAAGACTCACCAAGTTGCCCAGTTGGGTCTCGAATCCACAGGCTCAGGCATTCCACTCATCTCAACCTCCCAAAGTGCTGGAATTACAGGCTGAGCCACTGAGTCTGGCCTATTTTTATTTTTGAAGGAATGTTGATAGTAATTTTTGTATGACTCTCCCAATTTTAAACTTACCAACAGTATACAGGATTTTTTTTTTCCATCATATCCTTATCAACTGTTATCTCTCTTCCGGTTGATATTAGCCATCTTAACAGGTATGAGATAACATATTATCATTGTGTTGAATTGAAATTGCCTTTATTGATGACATTGAGTGCTATGTCAGATACCTGTTGGCAATTTGTATGTTCTTGTTGTATAAATAACTATTCATTTTGGGGCCATATTTTAGTTAGGCCATTTTCTTTTTTTTTCTTTTGAGTTGGAGTCTCACTCTGTCACCCAGACTGGAGTGCAGTGGCTGCTCCTGGCCACCGCAGCCTCGACCTGCTGGGCTCTGGTGATCCTTCAACCTCAGCCTTCCAAGTAGCTGGAACTACAGGCATGCGCTACCACACCCAGCTAATTTTTGATTTATTATAGAGATGAGGTCTCGCCAAGTTGCCCAGGTGGGTCTTGAACCCGTGGGCTCAGGCAATCCACTCACCTCAGCCTCCCAAAGGCACGGGATTACAAGCTGAGCCACCGAGCCCAGCTAGGCCATTTTCATTTTGCCTTTGATTTGGATACATTTTTTTTGTGTTTTGGATATTAACATCTCATCAGGTATATGGTTTGAAGATATTTTCTTTTGTCCTGTAAGCCTCCTTCCTGTTCTCTACCATACAGGAGGTTTGTAGTTTGATGTTTCCAACTTGTTTATATTTGTTTCTGTTCCTATAGTCATAAAAAAAGATTACTAAGACCAATATCATTATCAAGTATGTTTTCCAAATCCTTGTTAAGGCTTTGTTTTATGTTGTGAGTTGTGGTCTCTGTCACCCAGGTGGGAGTGTGTTGGCTCAAGTAAGGCACACTACAGTCTTGAGCTCCTTGACTCAGGTGATCATGCCACCTCACCTCCTGAGTACTGGGATTACAGAATGGTGCCTCCATGTCCAGCTATTTTTTATTTTTATTTTTTTTAGGCACAAAGTCTTGGCATACTGTATATACTAGGCAAGTCTTAAACTGCTGGGCTCAGGTGCTGAGATTAAAGACATGAGCAACCACATTCAGCTGATACATTCTTATTTACATTAACATATGTCCACAAGATTTATCCTTACATAACATGTGACAAGATTTCTGTTTTTAAGGGTTCCACATTTTCTCTGTCCATTCATTCTTTTGAGGACATTTAGGTTGCTTCTACCTTTTGGCTTTTGTCAATAATGCTGCCATAAACATGGATGTACACATATATTTTTCAGGTTCTGCATTGTATCTTTGACTAGACACCTGCAAGAGGGATTGCTGGTCACAGAATAATAGATTGTTTCATTCTTTAGGAGACATTTTTACTTCACTGATTTTTTTTTTCCTATCATGACAATTTTTTTTTTAACTTCGAATAGTTAGTTTTGTGTTTTTCATTGTCCCTTATTCTTTTCGTGTCATATAACAGAACATTGTCATGGTCAGTGTCTTAACATCCATCTTATATTTGGTTCTAATAACTTCATAGTTTTTGTATTCAAGCATTTAATAAATTTGGATAGCTTTTTGAGTATGATTCAAGAGGCTGTGTTTCTTTGTTTCTTTTTTGGATAGCCAGTTTTCCAATACCTTTTTTTTTTTTTTTTTGAGTTGGAATCTCACTCCGTTGCCTAGACTGGAGTGCAGTGGCCGCTCCCGGCCACCGCTGCCTTGACCTGCTGGGCTCTGGTGATCCTTCCGCCTCAGCCTTCCAAGTAGCCGGAATTACAGGTGCGCACTACCACGCCTGGCTAATTTTTTGATTTATTGTAGAGATGAGGTCTCACCTGCCCAGGTGGGTCTCAAACCCGGGGGCTCAGGCAATTCACTCACCTCAGCCTCCCAAAAGGCACAGGATTACAGGCTGAGCCACCGAGCCCCACTTCCAATACCATTTGTTGAAGAAGCTTAGCTTTCCCATTGTGTGGCCATGCCAACTTTGTTAAAGATTATTTAATTGAGCTGGGCTCGGTGGCTCAACCTGTACCTTATCCTTTATTGCTAACGTTTTCTTGACATTTATAGTTCTTGGAGATTCTATCTAAATTTAAGATTAAGAAAT